ATATATATATATAAATTGAACTTATTTTTTACTCAGATTTGTAGACGTTTAATATTAACGTACAATTGAGAGGATGGGCGGAATAAAACAATTCTACTTAGGCCTTTTTTTCGAAGATTAGCTTTTTTTTTATAGTATTGACCGTAATAGAGAAGTATTGTAACATGTAACTTCTTAAAGACATTATATAAATTCATTTGATATTGTATCTATTTGTATATAATAAAAAAGTAGTTATTTTAATTTTTATTAAAATCAAGATTAATTAGCTCATTTAGCCCTTTATTCCGCTCATTCCCTTCATTATTTTATACAATGGGATAAAGTGGTACATGGTACAATTCTGAACAAAAATCCAATTTGCAAAGTTTGAGTTTAGCTTTTTCCAGAGTTCGATGATTTTTTTTAATATCCTTTACATAATAAGATCAAGATTACCAAACTTCTCGAATTTGGATTCAAATCTTATTTCGTTAAAAATTATATCACTGTACACAAGTGAAAAGCATAGGCCAATATTATAAGTATAGAAATAGGAAATATTATAAGTTTTAACGTATCAAAAATAGACATCAAGTCATTTATCAGTCTGTTTTTTTTTTATTCCTGCACTAGATTGCATTAGAACTTTCTCTCTTTCGCCAAATATTAAACCTATAGATATCTAATAATTTACTTTAAAAGTATACACTAGTTCAGCTACAGAAAACAGTGTATACCAGAATACATGATTTCTGATAGAGATTGAAATCTATTTCCTTATTCCCTGTTTCTATTATCTTCATTTTTCAATTATGCAATACGCTTTATTAATATCCTCTTTAAACAATTTCAAACAAATAGTTTGGAGACTCAATATTGTCCCGAGATGATCAATAAAATATTGTGTAATATCAATTATTGTACAATAATATTGATCGGGCCGCTTTAAATTGCATCTCGGCGAAAACAGTATTCAGAATCTGTTGAAAGATCGCCGACTTCTTTCATGCGGCATTCAATTTTCAATCTTTAATTCGACATGGCTGTAATACGTTACAACGCTGCGGTGCACCGCGTTTCACGAGCGTTCGAATCGCGCTGGAATCGGCGTTTAAGGTTCGCAATATCCGGCTGAAAATCATTAATGCTAGTTTAACACGCATCGAAAAGGAGAGCCCCATCGGTTCACGTTCTCGGTTCGTAATAGCGCTCTCTCGGAACGGTAACGCGCCGTGTATTATTGTGCGATCAGCGCGGAAATATCCGAGATACGTTCTACGCTGTTCTACGCGCTCGTCTAACGGAGGCGCCGATCCGTTTTACAGAGAGAAATGGACAGGGACCATAGGGAGCAACGCGATCACGATAATCTGAGCGAGAAGGAACCGGACTGCAAAGTTGGAATGGCTTTCTGCAGCCTCTCCCACCATCGCGATCGTACGCCGGATGCCGATGCAGAGGTTCATTGCTTGTCATAACATTTCCCCTTCAATGATTACGCGGCGTGTATGAGAAAATAACAATCGGCGTTTATCGAGAAATTAGTAATTAATGTAATCATCATACAAATTGTTTATTATTTTCACGATAATTATTATTCCATGAGAAACGCTGAGAGGCATTGAGTTAGTAGTCAGTTTCTGAAGATAATTAATGATATTAATGATTTTCACATTATTTCTATGATAATCACTTATTTGTAATCAATAAACTAATAAGCCGGTTGTTATTTCTTTTATCATTATTATGGAAATAGATTAAGGAATTATTATGGAAATAGAGTAATGGGGGAGAGAAGTAATAATTTCTTTATAAAAGTCAGTTTTAAAATTCTTGTCTTGTTGCAGAGAGACATGGACATCGATCCGGCTGATCATGTCGAGAATTTGCACGACGACAAGCATGAGAAATTAGGGAGGAATTTTCATAATATAGGACATCATCCAGCCATGGTAAATATATTAATCCGCTGATAATTTTTTGTAACATTGATTTCATTAAATATCTTGAATTTGTTTTTTTGCAGAGAGATGTAGATAGGGATCAAAATCATGTTGATATGCATGACGACAAGATAGACCTTAAGATAGGAAGAGACTTTCGTAATCTCGGCCATCATCCTGGAATGGTTCATTTGCATTCTGATTCTTTCATTAAAAAACGCTACGAATTAATTCCAACACCTAATATATATATATATATCTCCGTTATTTCACAATACATTGATTTCCTAAGTGTTCATCTTTAACTCAAATAATATTTTAACATTTTTTTATAGGTGAAATTAGCGAGGGACGTTCGCGGCTCATTAGGCTTAGGATTGTCCTTAGAACTTTGTGTAGTTTGTGGGGACAGAGCTAGTGGCAGGCATTATGGAGCAATTAGCTGCGAGGGGTGCAAAGGGGATTTTAAGCGCAGCATCCGCAAGCAGCTGGGCTACCAATGTAGAGGAACCAAAAGTTGCGAAGTTACCAAACATCACAGAAATCGTTGTCAGTATTGCAGACTTCAGAAGTGCTTGGCGATGGGCATGAGAAGCGACTGTAAGTGATTAATTATCATGTTCTTTTTTATTGAATATCCTTCTCTAATTGCTATACCATATCCTGTTTCTTTCACTCTTTAGCTCTTTAATCAACTTCTTATCAATCTCTAACCAATTCATATCGTTGTGTTAATAAAAAAGTGATCTCAAAATTAACTACTTTTCAATAGACTAATTTTAAATTCTGAATTAAAACAACATTTTAATTAGTATAATGAATACGCATAACTTTATTTTCTTTCCATGTTATATTTTCAATATTATATATATTCTTTAGAATTAGTTATGAGTGTTGAAGAATATATATAATTTAAAGTATAACACGGAAAGGAAATGAAATTATGCATATTCACTTAATGCGTATTCATCTTAATTTATATATATATATTTATTTATTTATTTACATATATAAAAGATCGAGTGAAGATCGAGATCGAATCTAGGACTTGTTACGATGTTGCAGCTGTACAACATGAGAGAAAACCAGTATTGGGTGATTCGGCTGGGACAAAAGTTGGCAATCGTAACCCTAGGGTAAAACCTGAGCCGCAACAGCCTGCGCCCGAGGCACTACCGACTTGGGAACAACCCGAGAGCCCTAGCATGGAAGACCAAAGCAGCGATAGTGACGCTCTCAGCGATGCTTTGACCTTAGCTCGTGAGCGTTTACTCCTTTCTCATGCGTTAGCAGATAGTATGGCTAAAATCATTAGTGATGTAAGTTACGATTGTTATCTCATTGTATTATTTCTATAGATAGGCCGTTAATGTATCGCGATATCTCCTTGTAGAATGTTAATGGCTCGAGCGAACCAGAAGAAGAATGGACCGGCCAATTAATCTCTGAGCGAAATACGTTGTTTGAATTGAGGGCGCCTAGCCCAGCACCTGTGTATTTGTCTATTCACTACATATGTGAAAGTGCAGCTAGATTATTATTTTTGTCTGTACATTGGGCACGAGGAATTCCAGCATTTCAAGCTTTGCCGTAAGTATGATGTAATTTATAGAAATAGTACGTCTACCTCTTGATCATATTAATGATAAAGTCATAATGTTTAAGATAAATGTTTTACGTTTTAGATCTGACGTTCAAACTACTTTAGTTAGAAGTTCCTGGGGACAATTGTTCACATTAGGTCTGGCACAATGTGCATATACCTTGTCACTTCCTAGTATTTTGACATCGATAATTAATCACTTACAAGCTAGTATCGCACAAGAGAAAGTCACCGCTGGCAAAGTAAAATGCGTTACAGAACATATATGGAGACTACAGGATTGTGTAAATTCACTGCACAAGCTACAAGTGGATTCTGTTGAATACGCATATCTTAAAGCTTTAACGCTTTTTAGTGCTGGTAAGTGAATGTAAATGACAAACAATGAAGTTTATCTATTTATCATGAATATCAGAGTGAGACATTTATTGTTATTTTTTAGATAATGTCTTAGCAGGCATTTGGCATAAGAAAGTTGAAGTCTTGCAGGAAGCAGCATGGACGGAGCTGCAGCAACGTGTAGGCTCCGATAGATTACCTCGCCTTCTGTTGAGGCTAGCACCTCTCCGCTCGATTAATCCTAGAGTTCTGGAGGACCTCTTCTTCTCGGGTCTTATTGGTCGAGTAAGCGTAGCTAGCGTCGTGCCTTATATTCTTACCATGCAAGATTATAAAACTGAACCAGAAAGTCATGCAGGGTGACGAATATTGTCAGTGCAATATAAATCGTGACCTAAAAGAGTGATATAAACGTAAATGTTGGATGCCTCGTTTTTGTACAACGAAAATGTTTACTCAAACGCGAACGTTGACATAATTTTTATTTTCGCATTTCCCTTTTTCTTTTCAAATATTTGCATAAGAATATGACGCAATAATGAGGCGCACATAAATTTGAATTAATTATAAATGCATGTATTACTGTAATAATAGTAATTGTACATATATATCTATATCTAGATATATGTACATATTTTTATGTTTAGATCATAAATATATATTGTATTAAGATGGTAAACTTAATTCCTGCCGCTCGCTATTAGAGGAGACTATCCTAACGCTGGCCAGTTTCGATCGCGGCGAGTGAAGCCGCATGACTTTTGTAGTTTAGACATTACTGAAAATAATTTAGTCCTCACAGGTTAAATTTCTTGACACCAAAGAGATTTTCCAATTGATCGAAAATGAATCGCGATAAGCTGTTTTTCCAACATTTGCTTCTTCACTACTTCGACCTTAAGAAAACAGCTAAAACGCATCGCTTATTATATGGTGATGAAACTCCATTGGAAAAAACATGTAGAGTGATTTGAACGCTTTCGAAACGATGATTTTGACGTGAGAGATAAAGAACGTTCCGGACAGCCGAAAAATTTTGAAGATTTCGAGCTGTAAGAATTGTTCGATGAGAATTTAGTTCAAACGCTTTTAGAGTTGTTGAAAGCGTTAAATATTACTCCAATGGCCGAAAAATTTTGGAGACGAAAAAATAGGAATTAAGTTTACTATCTAATATACAGAATGTTTCATGAATATATGTCAATATTTTAGAAGATAAATCTATATACTAAAATAAGTAAAAAAATGTCACATAAACATATATAATGATTAAAATGAACTCTATATTTAAAATAATAATAATAAATAAATTTCAAGGCTAATGAGAGTCATTGTGGAAGAGATTGCGCACAATATGACTACAAAATGAGTTGAAACGTTCAAGATTTAAAAAAAAAGATATCATTGTTATAAAGAAGATATCATTGTTATAAAGAAATAATTTTACTTATCAATAACTGCGCAATCCCTTCTGCGTTGACTCTCATTAGCCTAGAAATTTATTTATTATGATTATGATTATGAAATTTATTTATTATGATTATAATATAAACATATATTATGAATATAAACATATATCCTACATAGGCATTTCCTTTTATTAACGTGATTATACATCCTACATATCTTAGTTTTCAAGTTATGAATGATTAAGGAAAATATTTGCAATGCCCTTGTGCGTTAACATACGTTACTTGCACAGTAAGCGGCAGGAACCAAACTGAAAATCGGCCGAAATGTACAAGCAAATCCCAGTACTGTCCTAAAGTATTGACATGCATTTATGAAACACTCTGTATATTATAGCGCAACATCTGATTGTTTATAATATTGACTTTGTACCCAGCAATTTTTTATTTATTATATAGTAAATGAACATTATACAAAACTTTCCCTAAATGTGGCAACTCAACACTTTAAATTATAATTTCAAATAAGAGCGTAAATAACATTGCTCGTTGAAATGAACAATCTGTAAAGTGATAATAAGAGAATATTGAAATTATAATATTTATATATGTATATATACACAATTAAAGTTAAAAATACAACAATTATAGTTGCATTTTTAAATATTACTGACAAAATGCAATATCTCGAAAATGGGCTTCTCCAATCTGTGATATAATTTCACAGGAAAGTTTTGTATCGGCACATTACTTACACAAAACGTAGAAGGCAATATGATTTATAATGTGTTATAAACAATTAAATAATTTGTAAAAATATTTACAAGAAAAGTATATTTGTATATTGAGGTGGTTCTTTAGTAAAGTACCAAAAATTTGGAGTGCCTCATCAGGGCCCACTCAAAATTACAAATATCTGGATAATTTGGATAAAATATTAAAACTACGTGTATCTTAATGAAATAGTATGGAACATACGATAGTAAATCAAGAGTTGCATCTTTATTGAATGAAAATAAGATAAGATTATGTTTATTTTTCAAGGTTAAAGGATCTCACCAAAAAAAACATACGGAAATTGGATTCCGATTACTTTGGCTGAATTTGTAATATGTTCTGATCGTCCTGATCAAAAGTCATGGTGACGAAGTAAAATAATAAACAGTTTTTGAGTTATTATGTATCAAACTCTGCCAAAATCGCTGTGCGATAAGATCTTTTATGCAAGTTTATGCATGTAAATATCTTTCCAGAATGGCTGTTGACCTATTACTTTTTATGACCATTAAAATCGTAATTTTTTAAACCATTGAGCGTCTACAATAAACAGTAGCAGTACAGGCTGTAGATACGTCGGGAGTAAGGTGATTTTCCGACCCAGAAATGATTGACATCGATAAACATCAAATTGATGTTGATTTAACGTCGTTCGACGTTTCTGGTTGGATCAGCTTACTCCCGATGTATATCTACAGCCTCTACTACTACTGTTCATTGTAGATGACGCTTTCTCGTTTTTGAGAAAAGTCTATGATAAGATTTGTATGCAGTTAGTCGAAGAATCGTCTGCGAGAGACTTATCTGTCACTAAGTTATACGTGACAGGTTACAACTTTTTTTTCTCTTTTATTTCATTGTTAATCTTCTATAGAATTTTGCACACGTTAATTTCGATACTTCCACTTCATTTTATAAAAAAATTAGACATTTCTATGGTAACTCGATTTACTAAAGAACCACCTTAACGAAATTACACTTATTATACTTCATTCAAAAGTTATAACCGAAAAAAGAAAATTTGATTGATTACGCCTTAAGAAGGTTGTAAGGGCATAAAATACATAAATATTTACGCTTTAAACAAAAACTACGTACATATGAAAGTTGTGTTTATAACATTTCGTTTTTATTGAGTAACAATTTTTATAGATTATTTTATTTGTTATTTTTACTGTTGAACAAAATGAACAAAAATTTAGCATGGCAAACAGTGCACTGGTCTACCATGTCAGAGGTCCCGGATTCGATCCCAGTAGAAACCGAAATATTTACGCTTGTTTCTGCTCTTGGAAAAAGTCGGCAATCTCCCGGGAGTATCCTTGCTCACAAAAACACCTCGAAAAATCCGCTGTTCGGAACCGATTAAAGCTATAGGTTCCACATGCTCATGGCAATTGGATAATCAGCATGCGTATAAGTATATGAGAGAGATGTAACACAGGTTAGAGGCTTAATGTAAAAAGAAACAAAAATTTTAAAAATGATAAAAATCTAAATTTTTTGGTATAAGTACTTTTAAAAATGATTTATTGCAAAGTTTCATTCAGATTTACCAATTGATTTTTTCATAACGAATAAATATTTTGTTTATTTACTGAACAACTAATGTCTGCATCTCAATGTAACTTTTTATAAATATTCTTGAATTCATAAAGAAGTTATATTAAAAAATTGAGATTTTTATCATTATTTTATAATATATTTCCATGTATTATAGTACAAATTTAAAAAATATTACTTTTTATTGAAATAATTTGATCTAAATAAACTATCTCTAATTTTATATTATTTTTAAATGCAATTTAGAATAATCCGTTAATAATTTTTTAAATTATTAACATATTGCATTTGCCTTACAACCTCCTTAAATATATTTGGTTGCTGATAAAAAAATAGATATCGAACATTTTTATCCTCTCTATAAAAACGCAAGTTTCATTAAAATCAAAGAGGTATATCTGGAAGGTTTCTTTCTTAGCCTATTCTACATGTATAAAGAAAAAACAGGGTTATTTTGAAATGATAAGAGTTTGAATATATGATGCGAGTTGAAAGTAGAAAAAATTTAATTGTTGTTTGTTTATCGAAATATTAATATAACATAACACATGATTCAGATTTCCTATAATATAAAAAGAGAAGTCATGTCATATTTTTGCTTCCAATATACAAATCAAAATTTTTGTGCACAAATTACCTATTACTTGTTCGGAGTGGACAATAAAATCATATTTTTTGTAAGAAAAAAGCGTAGATACTTAACATAGTTTAGACATATATATATATGATTGTACATGAGTTACTTAATTAAAAATGTAAATTTCCTATTGTTGATATATTGTAATTATATATCGTAAAATTAATAAGGTAATTACACATAAAGTACTTTATACATATTTTAGTATTTTTAAGTTATATTATACTCGATATTCCGATTAATTAACAAATCGATCGAAAGCAATCTCATCATTAAAAAAAATTCTTTAAAAAATCTTTAAGAAATTTAAAAGATATTCTTTTAAATTTATTTATTTTTATTCTTTTTTAAGAAATTTTTAAGAACATTACTTTATTATTTTTTTATAATTGAATTTCTTTTGCAAAAATTTATCAATTTGTAATAATATCAAAACAGCACAATTAGTTTCTCAATTGAAATCTTTAATATGACATTACAGTTTGATAAGAATTAGATAATATTAATAGTGTTGAAGTTTCAAATTATCTGAAGAAGATATACTTCTTCGTAATATTGATAATGACATATTATTATTGTGATCATTAAAACAATGTTTAATAGTCAGATACAATTTAATTTTTGATATATTTATTGACGGGGTGATATTAATATTTTTATTAAATAATATAGATTCTCTGAAACTTGATTTGTCGTAGCTTGATAGTTTCTAAACTCGTGGATTATCTTCGGAATTTAAATGCTTTTTGCGTTTCACTGTATTTTGCTGTTAATGCTTGTATGTTAGATACTCGAATTGAGAATTACAAAATCACCGCAACAGCATTTAAATTTCGGATCTTTAAAAGAGACAATACGTTGAGACATAATATTCTGCGGTTGCATTACAAAGGAAATTGTACATACGCGTGTAAGAATGTGCCTACATAAGAAAGATATTTATATGGACGTTAAGAATTTTGTAATTATTGTTATATACGTGATGGAATATAACTAAAAGATCAGAGATACCTGAAAATTCGTTGCAACGCAACTGTGCTAAATGAGGAACGATATGTATATATACTTAACAAACATATATGTATTTAAATGCGTCGAGAAATAACATTATATATATATATATGTATGTATAAATGCAGCTTTTATATCTTTATTCCTTGATCCTAAATTATTCAAAATTCATTGCAATGTGTTTTATTGTCCAAAATCCATCCATTGGTTTTCTGTTT